AGCAGATTGGGGAATGAATGAATGTTTATTATAAGACAAAGTTTTATATTAAAAAAGTTTAATATCGGGCCCTCCCTGGTGGCGCAGCGGGTTAAAGCACAGCACTGAGAAGCTAAAGCCACTTCTGCATGAGTTTGATCTCCACCCCAGGGGTGATCCACATGGCGCTTGCTGTTCCCCTCAGCAGTGTACTTCACGATCTACCTGTTCTGCTCCCCACTCTGTCTCTGGTGAATCCTCTCACCGCCCCTGCACCTCTGGCTTGTACCCCAGTTCTGTATAAACAAATAAATCTTTAAAAAAAATTTTAATATGAAAACATGGTCAAGTCTTTAGAAGTTTGGTGATGTTTTTGTGATGAGAAATATGCCACAGGAAATTATATCAGTTAGCCTATGGTAAAATTGGTTTCTTCATGATACATGGTTTCACGTGAAGTATCTACTTTTAACAACGTATGGACCTAAGTGAAAACTTAGTGTACTGAATTCTTTGGCGAATAGACAGCATTCATTAATACATTCATTAGCAGCATTCATTAATACATTCATTAATACATGCCTCCCTAAACATGCCAGCTTTTCCCTGTAGTGGTTCAACATGGCTCTGTCTGTTCCACTAGCACTTGCCTAGCCTCTGGGCACCACGCATGAAGTGACCTGAAGCCATCAAGTATAATAAGTGAGGCTGTGAGAGAAGAAAGTTAATGCCACAAGATCAAATTGATGACAGTTCTAAATAGAACCCTGGACCCCAACAGCCTTGACCACCTGCTTCAGGACATGTCCAACATGTCCACAATGGTTTAATTAAGATTTGCAAATGCCATTACTTCAAATGCTTTCTTTCAGAAGTGATTATAGCAAGTAAATCAAACTAATGTAGTGCTTTTTTTTTTTTAAGTTATTGTGTGAGCGGTTACCATAAGCCCTTCATTTAAAACAATGCATTTTACAAGAATTTTGGCAGCACACAACATGTCCTCAGAAAAGGAAATGGTTGAGGTACTGGCCTGCTCCCCCCGCCACACACACACTCCCCCCCCCCAAGGCAGCTGGATTCATGGCCATGGCTGCCTGCTCCTCCAGGACTGGCCAGCTTGCTACTGTCCTGCCTTCTACGAGACAATGCTGGGACACAGTGCCTCTGCCAACAGGAAATGCCTCTGAGCCCTGGAGGGAGGGCATGTTATGATCGCCTTGTTTTTCTTTTTGGCAAACTCTGAACCATGGCAGAAGGAAAACATCATCCTTACCTTCTGGGTGGGCTAGTTGCCAGGCCTCTGAGCAGTCTGGTAAAGGAAGTGATTCACTTCCTAAAGCCTGCTTGTGTGAGAGCCCTAGGGAAGGCCTGGGAGAAGCTGGGAGGGTCCTACAGGCAGGGAAGGAGTTGATGAGAACCTTTCATCCTGATATTCCCTGCAGGATGAAGTCCTGATTCCCACATGACAGGTGCCGCTAGATTTTTCCCACCTTTCTCCCTGATTTGACTGCAGGACCTCTGCATTTTGCTTGGATCCAGGGCCCAAGTTCTTCCTACCTTCAGGAGGGCCTCTTCAGGGACTGGTGCCAGGGCCTCATTGCCAAAAGCAAACTTCCTCTCAAAAGCCCAGCTCTGTTTCTTGAAAGCCTTGCCCAACACCACCCTCCTGCACATAGAATGTTAGGTGTTGCCAGAGCCTTTTAAATGTGCTCTTGCATATCACATTTCAGTGGCCTCTTTAAATAAAATCAGTTTATCCATTGGGTAAAGGTTTTCCTTCTTAGGTACCAGCACTGAGCTGGGCCAGGCTGTGGGTATCTATGAGCCAACAAGCTTGGCTGTTAGATGCTCACAACCAGGTAGAACACCACCTATGACCCTTTGAGAGGCACCCCAATAGGGGAGGACCCCGGCCCCAGGGCCCTCCAGGACCAGGACACCGAATCAGCCCGTGTAAGGAAGCCTGACTGTGCAGTAACTTTGGGAGGGAAAAGACAAGTGTTTGAATTTAGATGTATTTAGTTAGACACACAAGTGGAGGTGAAGAGCAGTTGTATATGTGAGTGTGAAGTTAGGAGGAGTGTCTGTTCAGGAGCCCAGGCACAGGGACAGTACTGAAAGCTCCCAAGAGAGAGTAGGTAGGGAAGAGAACCAAGAACTGAGTTCTGAGTCTCCCCACTGTTAGTTGAATGACTTACCTCATTTCCTTCAAATCACTTTTTAGTGCATCTGAGGCTATCCTAGGAACGACAATCACAATAATAATTTCTACTGTTGACACAAGCTGGATATTTTATCTGCCAACTTGAGCTGGCACTTGTGATTTCAGATTTTTGGCCCCTAACTGTGAGGGTTGAATTTCTGTCAGACTAAGCCACTAAATTTGTGGTAATTGGTCTTTACAGCTCTGGGAAACTAATCCATGCAGATTCCAAGGGCACATGCACTGAACTATACTTAATAGGTCTGCTTTTTGACAGGCAGCCAAGGTGACTGAGAGGGATGGATGATCTATGGGCAACAATGCCCATCTGCTCAGGCAGGGGATCTTTGGCTGGGGCCTGTTCCTCCATGGAATCCATAGTAGAAGTTCAGAGGTTCCAAAAATGTATTAAGATCTCATGAGAAATTTTCTGGATGTGCACACAGGTTTATATTTTTCATATTTTCTTCAGATTTACTTAGGGGTCACCAAAAAGATTGAGAACTAAGTTCTATCCTAAAAAAAAGTGTTGCAGTGTATAACCTGGTTTGAAGTGGGGTATGGGAGAAATGAAGCTATTATTAAATAAACACCAGAAGTGTATACTGAGCCTGTGGAGAGGGAAGTCTTGATAATGAATGAATCAAATGAAATAGTTGTATCTTTGTTTGAAGAAAACAGAGCTAGGACCTCCCTGGTGGTGCAAGGGGTTAAGTCTCAGCACTATGAAGCTATCCACAGCTGCTGTAGCACCAGTTTCATCCCCAGCCAGGGAGGTAACCCTCATGGTGCAGCAGACTGCTCCTGCCTCACGTACTGCTCCTGCCTCACGTACTGCTCCCCTCAACTGTGTATTTCAGTAGATCTGCCTGTTCTGTTCCCTACTCTTTGGTGAATCTTCTCACCCCCGCACCTCTGGCCTGTACTCCAGCTCTTATATGCATAAATAAATAAATCTTTAAAAAGAAAAAGAAAAGAAAGCAGAGCCTACATGATAGCCTTGCTATAGACACAGGACTGGCTGGGACATGGCCTCCATTCCGAAAGACAGGGGAGCATGTAGGCAAACAACCTTGTGGAGGAGGTAAGTGACCACAGGCCAGCGACCACAGGAGTGCAGAGTAGAGAGGACACACATTAGAAGCATGAAAGAGCCAGAATTTCAGATGGTGGCTATTTATTGTTTATAGACTGTGGAAACTACAGGTTACATATGCATATCCCCTTTAATTGTGTCTTAGTTGGAATTGATTTTATATCATACCTTGGTCATGTTACTATTTTAATTTTGGTCCCTTTGTTTAATAACATATTTTAATTTTACCTCTTTGCTCAATTGCTTATTTAATTTCCCTCTCCCTCTTCTACTGAACTGTAAACTCCACAAAGGTAAGGAGCCTGTCTGTTTTTCTCAACATTGTGTTCCTCGTGCCTAGCACAGTGCCTGACATATACTGTTTTACTTCTCCTGTGAGTGGGCAGGAGTGGCCACTTTAGAAAACAGTCTGACAATTCACTGAAACCTTAAACATGATTCCAATGGGACCCAGCAATTCTCCTTCTAGGTATACGCCCAGGATATACAAAACGTACATACCGTAGAGACAACAGTATACACAAATACACAAAACTCATGCACAAAAGTTTAGAACAACATTATTCCTAAGCCAAAAAGTGAAAAACAAATGACCATCCACTGACAAATGGCTAAATAAAATGTGCTGTATTTTATTATTATCACTCAGTCATGCAAATGAAATGCTGACACACACAACCACATAGACCAGCCTTTAAAATCATCACAACTTAAGTGGAAGAAGTCAGTTACGAAAGGTGGCATATTGTATTATCCCATTTATAGATGTCCAGAATAGCAAATCCATAGAGACAGAAGGCAGGTGTGTGGTTACCAAGGGCTGCTCATGGAAAGGAAGAACTGCTAATAGGGACTAGGTTTCTGTCTGTCTGGGGATGGAAATGTTCTAAAATTAGGTAGCGGTGCTGGGTGCACAACTCTGGATATACTAAAAGCCAAAATGTATGAATATACATTATTCATATAAATGATACTGCCATAGCTGTTTTTTTTTTTTTTTAAATAATTCAGGCATGTCCTTTAGCAAACTAAAATCTACAAGCAAGATTTTAAATAATGATAATTTGTTTTCGGGAAAACAGCCCCGTGTGCCAGAAAATGTGTGGTAGTGTGGCTGGAAGGACTGGGACATGTCCCCGAGATTACAGCTCATTTAGTTGCTTGGGGGGTGGGGGAAGGGTTGGGGGTTCTCAGTAGGGCTGCAGAGTGCGGGCGGAAGGTGCCCTTGACAGCTGCTGAAAAAGCGAGAGTTGGTGCAGGGGGTTTGCTCGCCAGCACCTTTGCTTCCTCTCTCCTTGTCTCTGTCGCACCCTCGGCCTTGTGTCCTGTTAAGCCAGCAGGACCAGGACCCCCTTCCACATCAGGATGCCCAGCAACCAAGCGCCTCGCCAGGCACAAAGTATGTGTGTTGTTTGGCTTAGAAAATGCAACGGATGAATGAACCGACAAAGTGCCTCACAGTGACCCGAGAGGTCACTATAATCCGCTCGGGTGTCCAGGTTTTGGGGCTGGGTGACAGCGAAGGAAAGTGTCAACCGGGCGCGGAGAAGCTGCCACTGTCTGGGCCGGCCGAGAGCGCAGCCTTTGTGCGGAGGTTGCTCCCGGCTGCCGCCGCTGGGGGGCGACCTCCCGCCCTCGGACCCCCGACAATAGAGCGAGGGGTGGGGAGCCCGGCACTCCCGGAAACTTTTCCCTCGCGCCTCAGCAGCGGACGCCTGAGAGCCAGGAGCTGGGCGCGCCCCTCTTCGGCCTGCAGTAGGTGGCCGCCGCGGCACCTAGCTGGGAAGAGGGCGCGCGGCGGTAGCGCCCAGGGGTAACCGGGACCGGGGGGCCTGCGTGCGCTCAGGTCCCCGGCCACGCCGAGGCCCCGTACTGGGCCGGACGAAGGCGAGTGGGGTCATGGGGGAGGCGCCCGGCTCAGCGCCCGCGCCGGCGCTCGGGGACTGGGGCTACCTGGACCGCTGCTTCGCCCGCCACCGCGTCTGCATCTCCTTCGGCCTGTGGATCTGCGCCGCCTCCTGCTGGATCGCCGCCCACGCGCTGTAATGGGGACCGGGACCGGGCGGCGCGGTGGTGGGGGCAGGGTCTGCAGCAATGGGAATTGGCTCGACCCTCCTGCTAACTCCCTTTTGCAAACCTAGAAGGAGCAGAGAGGGAGGAGGAGGAGGCAGCAGGTAGCGGACAGCACAGTTCCAGGACTGAAACTAACATTTCACTGCGGACTGGAGTCGGCTACTTCTTTCCGTATCCAAGCACAGGGAATCTGGGCTGTGAGCCAGCAGGAGGAGGCGGGGTGGTGCAGTGGACCGGGCCTGACCTGCAATCTTGGGTGTTAGGTCCGCCTTTCCCTGTTGGCACATGTGAGCTAGACAAGCCACAAAACCTCTGGGCCTTATTTTCCCGTGTGAATGGGGAAGAAAATTTACTGTAGAGATGGGCAGATTAAATGAGTCCACCTATAAAGCTCTTAGTAAATACTCATTAAACAGTATTGCACCAGCTTGGCCACCAACCCCGGGCAGAAGGCAAAGACATAGGACAAGTCTCAGGGCGTTTCTGGCCTCAACATCTCCAGACCCTCTTATCTGAGAGGAGGGGTGGAGAGCATCTGGCTGAGTCCACAGCCGTTGCCCTGGTCTTTCCAGCACCTGGAGCATTTGGGGTGGGTGGTCACTAGAACCTGCATTGTGAGGGTGAAGTCTGCCTAAAGGTAGCCTCCGGGTGGGTCTTTGGCCACCCAACCCCAAGCTCTAAGGAGGATGCCACTGCCATCTTCTCACCCAAGGGAGGCTGGCACCATCCCACTTCAGATGCTCCAAATGACATTCCCCTTGGGCATTTGGTGTTGTCGCAGATTCTGCAACCCATTAACCAGTCACTGGCGTATAAATTAAAAGACACAGAACATTTACTGTGGTCTGGTGTCACATTCACTAACTCTTGCAAGTCCTGCTGCAATCCATGGGGTAGAAATCATCCCTGTCATCCCCTTCAGGTGAGGAGGCCGCTGTGTTCCATGAGGTAGCTCAGGGACCCCTGGTGGCTGGAAAGAACAGAAGCCCTGTCCTATTGCAAAAGGGAAGGTGTGAGGCTTCAGCTTTCAGCTCAGAGAGTTGAAAGGGCCTTGAGTATGTGTTAACTCATATGTCCTCACAGCTACCCTGTGAGATGGGCATTACTGGCCTGGTCACCAAGGAGAGGCTAAGTAATCCATCCCCAGTGGTCAGTCTGAGAGAGCAGAGCCTCTGCTTTTTCATCTGATCTCACACACCCATTTGTTTTCAGTACTTTGTCTCCCTGAACCTCGTACTTTTTGGGGAAAGCGTCTTCTCTGAGCTGCGTGATGTTTAGGTGAGATCAGCCTTAGATCCCTGGCTCTGAAATAAGTTTCGTGCTTACTAAACTGTAGCTGGAGAAGTGGTTGAAGGACACAGTGCATACAGCAAAGCCTCTGTAAGTGAATCTGGAAGGCCCCCACTAACTTAACCTAATCACTGGAGACCTCACAGGCCCCCATACGTTCTCTCTCAAATGGGAGGATTGAAATAAATCACTACTAATCTGGGCCCAAGTCAGAGTTTCTAACTTAGAGTCTTTACTCTTAAGCCTTGAATCAATTTAAGGAGCCCCAAATCGAAGGTTGCTATTCCCACCAGGGACTTCAGGCTTCATCTGGCAGGCTGGGGAGTGTTTGGGGACCCAGTGTCCTTCCATCCTCAGGGAAGGGCTGACACCCAGAACCAGCTAAAGGAAACAGTTGGCATGAAATGAGTATCATAGAGTGGTCAAAGGGCATGAGACCGGGGCTGAAATACTGTGTCACTGTTTCCCCTTGGGAAGAGTCATCATCTCTGAGATGCATCAGTGGTGCAGGCACAGAGAGCTCTGGCCCTCCCAGCCTGGCTTCGCTTTCTGTAGTGTTCTCAGTGGGGTGGGAAGGGGGACAGCAAGGGAGAGAAGCCAGCAGTGGGGGTGCTCGGAGGTCAAGCCAAAGTGCCAAGGCATTTCCCAGGAGCTTTGCTCTCCGTATATAAAGTGCGTACATATGGCGTCAGCTTGGATTTGGGCTGGCACAAACCCAGCCACCCCATAGCGCAAATGGCTGAGGAGGGGTTCTCTTTAATCTCAAAGACACAAGTTGCCTTCTAAATTTAGTCAATGAGCTGTTCTGCAGTTGACTACAGTGATTAGGTTACTTTTATAACCCTCCTGTTTCCTTTCAAGAAATAAAACCTGACAGCTGGTTTGTCAGCACTAAGTGGTGGGTCATGACCTAGAGCTGGCAGGATTAGCAGGCAGAAATTCCACTTACTAGAGACCCTGCGTTTCATGGGATCTGGCTCCTGCTTTGGGCAAGTTGACCAGAGGCTCAAGAGTCTTTCGAGTCTTACTTTCCCCAGCATACACTGAGTTCCAAAACACCTGCTGAATATCACAACTGCCCCTTTTAGACACCAAACTCACAACTCCTCTATGGTGTCCACACGCTGTCGGTCTCCACAGGCTTCTGTACCTGAGATGTGTGAAGAATTCCGGACGGGACCAGTCGGCGCTGTGTGCTGCCTGCTGCCTCCTGACCAGTCTGTGTGACGCAGTTGGGGCGATTCTGGCCAAACAGCTCCCCATCCAGGTGCGTGGGGCCCACAGGCAACAGGCTCGGCCGGGCCAGGCCACCCTTTTCCTACAGCAATCACAGTGGCTTCTGTCTCACTCTTTACTATGGGGGACAGTTTCACCACGGGCCGTGGCTTCTGCAGGTCTTTCCGCCCAGTCCTGCTCTTGCCCCATAAACAGAGGGGGCCCAGCTCACCTCCTTCGAGTCTCTGCTCACAAGTACCCTGCCTCTCCTGTCGGTGCTCTGGATCCTTTCCCCAGAGTTCACCCTACTTTATTTACTTATGTTTATAACAATACTACTGGGATGTCATCTCCAGAAGGGCAAGAATTTTTATATTTGTTCCAGTGTCCCCATCACTTAGACATCACATAGTCATGGTGTTCAATATATAGTGGTTATTATTGATTTGAAAGCCTGGGACCAGCATCAGCTCGTGCAGGGTATTTGAACTTTTCTCCTAGCTCCTAAGGAGGAACACTGGAGAGACTAAGAGGCAGTTTCCAGTTTTCCTGGAGCCAGTGCCCTCCAGCAGAAGGAGCCTACCCTAACACACATGTCCCAAGGAACTTGCTGGGCCCCATTTCAGAGCACCCCACGTGACTAGTCACGGCCTGTGCCCACCGAGGTAGACATGAAGGAAGGCAACTGGGTACTTGGAATACAGGTCTGGGGAGATCTAGGCCCTGCTTTTAGCAGTGCTGTCTCACAGACAAGTCCCTTTCATTTCAGGCGCCCAGTCTCATTAGCTGATAGGTATAAGGAGGCCCAACTCAGGTCAGTCATGCTGATGTTCATTCTTAGCCACGTATGTAGCATGAAGGGCTTGCAAGGACTAACTCATCTAATCCTCACACCCAGTGATGTGGCTGTTCTCACTCTCCGTTTCACAAATACAGAAACTGAGACAGAGAGTTAATTAACTCCTCTAAGCTTGCCCTCTCGTGAGTAGCAGTGCCAGGATTCGAACACCAGAATGCGCGCTCTTCGGCACCAGCGCTGCTCCCACGGCAGTGCATTTCCAGGCAAGTGCATCTCATTCCCCCCATGTGCGCTCTCAGGACTCCACGTGTTGGCTCCTGTGATGTGCTTCTCATCGAAGCAGGCAGTCATCTGCCCTGGTTTCCAGAGGAGGAAACTGAGGCCCAGAGAAGTTCAGTGGCTGGGTCGAAGCAGATAACACCGTGCTGGGTGGAACTGCAGGAGAAAGCTGAGGGCTGGTTCTTGTGGTGTCCCCAGGAGGGACAGCCACACTCAGCACTGGTCATGGCAGCACCCCTTCTCCTTATCGGTCAGGTGGGCGTGGTGACCAGCTTTCTGCAGGATGGTCCCCGGAAGCAGCACGTCAGAGGAACACACATGGAAGCGGAGCAGAGACGAGAGGTGCGTTGGTTGCTGAAGGATGGTTGAACACCCAGCCTCTACTGTTTCCTTTGCTCCCAGGTTTTCACTGGTGCCTACCTAGCAGCGGTTGACTTGGTGAACTTTATGTTCATTCTCTTCCCGGTCTGCGGCTCCCAATCCAGTTCTCGTCCTGGTGAGTGTGTGATTTTTTGCTCCTGTCTTCGTGCATCCACTCATTCATCAGTGCTGAGCACCTCCGCCTCGTCACATCCAGGCACATGGACAGAGGTGCTCCCTGATCTCAGAGGAGGGAGACAGGCCTCAAACTATATAGTTTCAGCTGCTAGAGAGGAGCCCAAGTTGCACTTTGGGGAACCAGAGGAGGCAGAGGGTGGCAGGTGGCAGAGAAGGGGCAGACAAGGACATTGAAGGTGAAAAGATCAGCACGGCCACAGCCTGAAGGTGAGGTGGGCATGGCTTTGGGGGACACACAGTGGTAATCCCACAACTTACTGAAATGGATGCCACCCTACACTGAGCGGGGGCTAGAGGTGGCATGAGCAACCCTGAGGATGAGGGACCCTTGTCCAAAAAGGGAATGCTTGGGTGTCCCGGGTGGCACCCAGTATGGAGCAGTATGGCTGCTCCATACTGCCCAGTGAAGAATGTTCTTATTAGGATTATTCAGAGAAGCATCTGTCTCCAGGAGACTTTCAGGGCAGGCTCTCCTCACCCCCACTCAGCTTTGGCACCCTGTCACAAACATGTCCACTCATGGGTGCCCAGATGCCAAGCTCTGCCAGACGGCGGCAATTATAGAAACTGCCAGGGCAGAGAACTGTCCTCAGGGGTTCCGGCCTAAGGAAGATGGTGCAGTATGTGCAGATACGTGTGACAAAGGGTAATGTCGCCCTGCTGTGACACATAAAAGGCTGGGAGAGGACCTAGGAGGAACAGAGCTAGGAGCAGGAGCCTGGGGGGGGGGGGCAGTTAGTGAGACCCAGAGGGAAGCAGGAGGTAAACTCCAAAGACATGGGATGATCACAGAGCCCCGAAAGGTGTGGGCATCTGGGCATCCGTCTGGCACCAGGCGGGGTCAGCACCATTCCTCCCCACACAGCTGTCTAGACCCAAGGGCATGTCAGTGTTGCTGTCTGTTGCAGGTAGGGGCGCCCAGGAGCAGAAGAGGAGGAGGCGGCTTGGGGCCCGTGTGTCTGCTCTGGCCCTGCCTCTGAGCCTGGGTCCGGGCTGGGCTCTCTGGGTCGCCCTTCCGAGGGCTCCAGGTCCCATCCGTGGGCCACAGCGGAGGCTTCTGGGAAGCTTGCTGCAGGTGAGGCTGAGCAGGCTGGTGGGGGCGCGGGGGTATGTGGTTCCCCGGGTCCCAACAAATGCCCGGGGTTGGGGCAGCATGAGACCTCACATTATTTCAAGGAACCTACTAAGAGCAGAAAAGGCTGGTGTGGGCACATGAGCCGTCTCTGCGGGGCGCCGAGTGTGTCCCCTGTTCCCACAGGACAATACGGAAATCCTTGGCTACCTGCTGGGTAGCATCGCTGCCCTTGGCTCCTGGGCTTCCCGGATCCCCCCACTCTCCAGAATTGTAAGTCTGGGTCAGGGCTGGAGCTGTGGGTCACCATGGCATCGGGGAGCATCCTTGAAACTCCAGGTCTTTGGGGTGGAAGAGTGGGAAGGGTTAGTGTATGTGTGTGTGTCAGTATATGCGTGTGTGTGGGTGTGTGGGTGTGAGAGAGCACATGCTCACCCAGCTCGGGGAAGACCTTGAGGCCTGCTGGAGCCTCACAAGAGAGCCCAGCACTATTTTCTCTCCATTTCTTCTAGCAAATGAAAAGCAGGCTTTCAGGAAAAAAACTCTGTGTTCGGCTGAACCAGTATTAGGGAATGAGAAGGTTTTAGAGGATGGACTCGCGGTTTCTGGGGTTCTCGTATTAGAGAGCAGCTGGTTGTCATCCAGGCCCCTGGGGGAGGGAAGCCCCTGTTGACCAGTCGTGGGGACAAGGGGTACGGGAGCTCACAGTCTCATGGAAGACATAAGAATGTCAAGCAGGCTACTTCAAAGCTCCAGGAAAGAGAGACTCAGTGTTTGGTGTTTTGGATGAGAGGGAAGACTCCTGCACTATTCAAATGAGCGGGGTGAGCGCCTGCACCTGCCTGACTGATGGGTGCTGGTGGAGGCCTCTGGCTGAGGGCAGGCAGGTGGGAGCTCAAGAGGCAGAGGAGTGGGAGAGGGCAAACCACTGGGGCAGAAAAACAAGATGTCCTGGTGATGTGAGGGCTCGCCGAGGGAACAGTCGTGTGAGCTAACATAGGAATGTTATGGGCCCAGCGTTTAGTCTAAAAACAATGGCTTGCTGAGAACCGTTGAAGAGCCAGCCCAAGAGAATGCATTGGGAGTGGCAGCAGGGGAGCCACAGCCTATGCTTTGTGGCCAGAAGCTCACTGGCAGAGGTGTTCTACGGTGAAGGGGAGGAGTAGGGAGCACACCCTCTGTTCAGTCACCCTCGATGGGTCTCTAGGGTGGTGTGAGGGCTGGAAGCTTACCCCCACCTTCCTCACTGTCTCAGGCCGCAGTAGCAAGACACCACAAACCTCCACAACAGAAGTGTATAATCTCAAAATACCGGAGCCAGAAGTCCTGTGCTCAGGTGGAGATGGTCAGGGGAGTTTCACAGAGTTGAGTTTAAGCCAGGGATGAACAGGAATCCATCAGGCAAAAGAAATGGCTGAGCAGAAGCTGGAAGCCCGCAGAAGCAGCACCCAGGGCTACGGGCTCAGTTGTCCACTAACTGCTGGCCGCCAGGGCCTGGGTCTTAGAATCAGTTCTGTGGAATCGGGGGCAGTGTTCCGTCCAACCCAGCCCCTGCCCTCTGCCCAGTGCCGGGGTAAGGCGTTTCCCGCCATCCACCTGTGGACCCTGCTGCTGTCGGCCCTGGCTGGCCTCCTCTATGCCTCGGCCATCGTGGCCCATGACCGGCACCCTGAGTACCTGCTTCGGGCCACACCCTGGTTCCTGACCTCCCTCGGCCGTGCTGCACTGGACCTTGCTGTATCCACCAGGGCCAGAGAAGTCCTGGGCCTCACCTCCTTGCTGCCCTACCCAACGGTGCTTCCTTCTGCTAAGTGGAACCCTCCCCCAGCCGAAGGGGAGGGAGGTAGTGTGATGCCTAGGGCAGACAATTTGCATTTTTGTGTTTGTGGGGTTTATTCTAATACAAAGAACCATCTCTTGGCCGCAGCTCTGTGAAACAGCAGAGAGGGACGTGGAGGGCCGTGGCCCTGGGTCAGAGACCCAGGTTCCTAGGTCAGTCCTGCTCCCACTGGGTGAGTCCCCGCCCTGCTGGGAACCGATTGTCCTCATCTGTGCTTGCCATTCTCACAGGGGCAAGGGGCTCTGCCAGCTGACCTGCCACACAGGGGCAGGCTTTCCTATTCTGTCTGGGGCCCAGGTGGAGAAGCAGAGAGAAAATCAGAACGGGGCTGCCCTGTGTCGCTGACCGTGAGCACGCTCCTCGCTCCACAGGCAGGAAGCTTGTCCTGAAGTGCTCACCCCCCAGGGACCTCGGCCCTGGGGCCTCTGCAACAAAGTCAGCTCAGAGAGTCTATCCTCTAAAGCCTTCCATCCTGGGAGGCCACACTTTCGGCTCAGCGCGGGGGCACCGAATTTCCTTGCCCCTGCTGGCTCCGTTGGCTCCTGTGATCCTTCCTTCATGGCTGCATTACTTCAGTCTCTGCCTCTGACTCCACAGGGCCCTTCCCTTCTCCCTTTGTGTTTCCTCGTGTGTCCTGTCCTCCAAGCACAGGCTTTAGGGTCTTGTCTGATCTGCTCTCACCACCTCTCAACTAATTATTATAACAAATTAAATTGGTAAATAATTTTGTCTGCAAAAACTTGTTTCCAAAGTAAGTCACATTTGAGGCTCCAAGTGGAGGGACACTGTTAAGCCCACCATAGTTACTGTTGCTGTAAGCTCGTGCCTGTCCTGGGACGATTGGGGGAGAGCCAGGCCCTCAGGCACTGGGGCCACTGGGGTCACTGGGGTCACTGGGAGAGGGCTTGCAGGAAGGGTCACCTCCGAGGCAGGCAGGAATCGAGCTCATGCGGAAGTGGCTTTAGCTTCTCAGTGCTGCGCTTTAACCCGCTGCGCCACCAGGGAGGGCCCTAAGAAAAAGATTTTTTGAAGGACATACTTATTTACAAAGCGATTATTAGAGATGAGCTCTTGCTGGGTGCTAGGTCCTGATTGGGGACAGGAACTGGAGAGGCAGACCTGGTCCTGTCCTTCGGGGAGCTCATGCCTGTCCTGGGACGATTGTGGGAGAGCCAGGCCCTCACGGCACTGGGCCACTGGGGTCACTGGGAGAGGGCTTGCAGGAAGGGCGCGCTGGGGAGACAGCGCAGGGTGGTCTAGGTGCTCTGTTTCTTTGAACCTTAACTCCACCTCTCAGATCATCCTCCTTTCCTGGGTGATGAAGAGCAAGGTGAGACGGGCCTTGGGGTTTGCTTCTGGAACCAGAGAGAGCCCTGACACCCAAGCCCTTTTGACATGTGCAGAGAATGAGGAAGAACATCCCGAGGCGAGCAATGAGGCAAGTCATGGCGGGTGAATCGCTGTCCTGCCGGGTTTGTGTTCTGGGTGGGCCGCGGCAGGCTGGGAATTCTGGGACCCCTGCGAACTTGACCAGTTTTTCCTTTAAATCACTACTGTTTATGCCCAATGCTGAATAAATAGAACTCTCCATCCTCCAATTGCAGCATTTTTTAAAAATGTTTTTTTGATCACTTGAAATCTTCATTTTTATCAATATATATTTAGTCAAATGTCCACTCTGCTGTTTTTTAATTTACTTAACTCATATAGATATTTAAATTCAATACTACATAAATTAACCTATTCATTTAGAAATATTTTAATGTTTTCCTGTATTTCATAGAAGTGCATATTTCCACTTTTGTATGTATGTTTGACATCCACATCATCACCACCAACTCTGTTTTAGTTGATAATGCCAAAACGCTGATCTTTAACAGTATTGTTTATAATAACACCCACCATCTACGGTTATTTCATACTACCAGTAAGAATACGTTCGAGAGAAATCACTCCTTCCTCTGTTGACTTCATCAGGCAACTTCTATAAGTAGCCAGAACTTCTCCACAGGGCTTTATCTTTGCAAAAAGTCCTTGGGTCCAAATAATAAAAAATGTTTCATAATACAAGAGTGTTTGTAAGGGCTTGAACATAAAGCAGATCCGTGTTTTCTAAGATAATTTTTTCTGAGAAGAAGTCTTGGCCTATTACCGGGGCCAGAGCCACAGGCTGAGACAGATGCATTTGGACAAATGAAAGGGAAAATTGCTCCTCCGAATGTTCTAGTTCAACAATGTAGTCTGAGGTCATCTGACTAAGGTTACAGGGGTTGTTATGGTGCTTGAACCAGAGTCAAGTTCCTTTGAAGGATGTAAAGGGAGGTCATTTTTGTACAATTACTCATTCATTCTTTTCTTCATGAAATTATATCTCGAAGGGAGTTAAAATTCTTAGACAGCCCTGTGTGTTGGTGTTCTGAAGGAAGAAGTAAAAATCTCTGCAATGACTTCAGCCAGTAGCCCTTTACAGAACGGTCCCCAAAGCGTGGTCCGTGAGCCAGCATTGCCTAGGCACTTGTCAGAAAGGCAAATTCTAGGGCTCTGTGCAGAACTGCTGAATCAGAACCTGAGGTCTTTTAGACAGTCCCCTGGGTGCTTCAAAGCACAAAAGCATTTATCTAGCACACACTGCAGTGGTTCCTGAACTTTGCCATACTGGGCAGCTTTTAAACTTCTTAGTACTCAGGTCACACCCCATATCAATTCAATCTTAGGAAGTCCGGGGGCTGAGGGCTAAACATCAGTTTTTTTGCTTTTTTTTTTTTTTGGTCCCTGGTGATTCTACCACACAACAAAATTGGGAAACTGAACTACTATGTACTCGGAGAGAGATAAGACATCTTATAGGAAGCAAAAAATGAGATATGCCCTAAAAAACAAACTATTTTAAAGATCCCTTTGAAGAAAGTGGGACCATATTTTAGAATTATCTTCTGACTTTAAGAATTCCTCTTTCTGTATCCCTGTCTCCACTTGGAAGCATTCAGATTGGGTGCCTCTCACCACACTACCGCACTGCAAGCCACTCAGGACAATGGCAGCCATCAGTCGCTACTTGGAGCTGACCATTGAACCTGTGCAGCAGGTGAGTGGTCTTAGGTCACAGCTGGGTGTCAGACGGGGAGCAATCAGGCCCTCTCTGATGGCACAATGGGTAAAGCACAGCAATATGAAGCTATCCACAGCCACTGTAGCATGGGTTTGATCCCCAGCCCTGGAAGTAACCTACACTGTGTGACAGACCTCTCCTGACCTGCATGCTGCTCCCCTCAGCAGTGTACTTTGTTGACCTCTGTTCTGCTCCCCACTCTGTCTCTAGTGAATCCTCTCACCCTCTACACCTCTGGTCTGTACTGCAGTTCTTGTATGCATAAATAAACAAATCTTTAAAAAAAAAAAAAAGGAACAATTAGGGAGAGCTTCCTGGAGGAGGCAACTCCTTTCCTTAGCTATAGGATAGACAGAATGAAGGAGGAAAGTAGAAAATGTACTGCAAAAGGGGAAAGGGAAGATGGAAGAGAGTTCAGGAAAGGAAAAGGTGATGAAGACACAAGTTATCATACTGCAGAGTCTCATCCTGAGGTTTATGGAAGTCCAGAAGGCTTTGGGATTAGATGTGTGTTGCTTTGCAGCAAGCTACATAATGCAGGATGCTGCTGAAGAACAAGATCTTGGCCTTTGTATTAATAAACTATATGGGGAAGTAGAGAAGGAGAGGGGCAAGTATAAGAAGCAGGGGGAGGGTAGAACTGTACTTCTCATCTGCTGATAGCTTGGTATCGTAGATCCAGCCCTGCTTCCCCAGTCAGGTTTTCAATCTTATCAACAAGCTTCAGGGTCCTTCCTTATTCATCAGTCAATGTTCCCTCTCCCCCACCCTGGCATTCCAGGTCATACCTCACGATGTATAAGTCAGGAGTAAGTTTATGTATCTATCATCAGCCCCCTGGGTGTTCCTGGTCATACCTCTTCATGCACACCCTTCCCAGTGATCCAGCTTTGTGCTCTTAATTGATGTGAAAGGCACCTTGTAGGATTGGGCTCCTATGACCTGGCAGTTCTGACCTCGCTTCAAGAATACAGAACTGGCCCTCCCTGGTGGCGCAACAGGTTGTGGACTCAGCACTGAAACTGGCCACAGCCACTTCAGTGTGAGTTTGATCCCTGCTCCGGAGGTGACCACATGGTGTGGCAGCCCTCTCCTGGCCCACCCACTGCTCCCCTCAGCAGTGTACTTCGTTGTTCGGCCTGTTCTGCTCCCCACTCTGTCTCTGGTGAATCCTCTCACTGCCCCTGCACCCTGGCCCTTCCCCAGTTCTGTATGCATACATAAATAAATATTTTTTAAAAAATACAGAACTGTAGGTAACAAAATGGAAGCTGGATATGCCACTTAGGATTAGCAGACCCACAGGTGTGCATTTGAGAGCCATCATTTAGGCAGTGTTGGGGAGTGGACAGGGAAGAGGAGGCTAGAAGCAAGGTGGCCAGCAAGGAGCTTTTGTAAGTCCAGGAAAGAGGTGGCGTGGCCTAATCCAAGTGACAGAGTTGGGAGGAGACCCTTGGTGGGGAGGAGGGGGTGAAGAGGTGAGGGCGAGGAAGTCTGAAGGCTCCAATTGACTCCCAGGGTTCTGATCTTCAGGATGATGGGTTGAAGAGGGGGGAAAGGTGACCTCACTTGCCAGCCCACTCTCCCCCTAAGACAGTTCCTGTGAAGCTTACTAGTGGCCTCCAAGTTGGAGAGTTCCCAGGGTCATTTGGTCCTGATGGGACTCAACTCATCTTGCTACTAGCTCCTTCTGACTTCTCTCTCCTGATTTACCCCCTCCCTCACTTCTGCTGGCTCCGCCTGTTGAGGTAGCTTTCAAGTAGGAAAAGCCCTGCTCTGCACTAGGAGGCCCTCCGTCTTCTCTTGGCATATTCTCAGTCCGTACACCCAAAGCCCCACATACCTCTTGCAGATTTCCCCAGGGTCTGTCTCTACCTTCTCTTCTCCCTGGGTTCTGGTCTTGGCTACCTGGTGGCCCTGGGGCATCTCACATTCACCAAGTCCAAAAGGAAATTCTGCATTTACACACCCACCCAGCTTCTCCCCTCCAACACCCTCATCTCAGTAAAGGACACCACTATCTGTGCAGCTGGTCGAGCCCCAGATCCCATGTGCCCCCTCACCACAGGCCCATGCCTGTCCATCCATTTGCAGGTCTTGTAAATACTTCTTTTACAATAGGTCCCCCCTTTATATTAGCAGCCCCCTATAGATTTTCTTCTCTGATGCTGTTCTTATTCCTCCACCGTGAGCAGAGACCAGACAAGGGGGTGTCTTACAGATTACACCTTTCCTCCTTGGTCTAAAGCACACCTCTGGCTCCCCCCATTTGGGGCAGAATAAATCTAAACTCCATACACCGGCTTCCAAGACCAGCACAGCCTGCTGTGTGATTTCTCCCTACAGTCTCCTGTTCTCTTCCTCTATCTGCTGTGGGATTTCCCTTCATTCCTTTGCCTAGATCCTCTCTTGATTGTCTTACATGACTTTCTCTTGATTTTCAAGTATCAGGTAAATAGCACCTTTACCAAAGACCTTCCTGACCACCCATTCAAAGGTAGCCTCCACCCCACAGTCCTCTCACTTCTTAGTGCCTTTTTATTTTTTTTTTTTAAGGAGAGTGATTTACCAGAGACAGAGTAGGGAGCAGAAAAGGGTTACCTGAAATACACTGCTGAGGGAAGCAGTGAGTAGGTCAGGAGAGGTCTGCCACGCCATGTGGGTCAGCTCCCTGGCTGGGGATTGAACTCGTGCTGCAGTGGCTCTGGCAGCTTCATAGCACTGTGCTTTAACCCACTGAGCCACCAGGGAGGGCCCTTTAATGTCTTTTTAAATGCCCTGCAAAGCCTCAGTCACTCTCTCAATTTTCTTATTTGTCTGCCTCCTGCCCAGGTATAAATTTGGTGTCTTCTGTCTTGCTTGCCCACACCCTGGACATCACCACCGGGCTCTCAGTAAGATGTGTTTGGGAACCCTGAGTTGAGTGGTGGTGGCCTTGCTGAGCTTCCCATGGGCAGAGAGAGTTTGGGCCTGAGAGAAGGCTTTACTTTTTGTTGTTTCTTGGTGCAAATAACCCTGTGTGTGACATAAGTGGTGGTTAGAGAGGTTCAGGGCATGCTTTCACCATGAAGAGCCCACTTTAGCCATTGACACGTTCTTGTATTTGGAGGGTGTGTAGGGGGAAACCAGGAAACATGACAGTAGCTAGACAAAGCTTTGCAGTAGACATTTTAAAATCATGCAACTTCTAACAATAATAGCACAATAGTATGTTCACTTTAGTCCTTCCACTAGTTGAATCTTGAGTGGATTCCTGCTAGGGAGCAGATTCCATGAAAGAAGAGTGTGTTTCTCCTTTATTTTCTTCTGAGGCCTACCTGCACATTTTCTGAGCATTACTTCCTCTCTGCCTCTTCCTTCTTTGTCCACCAGAGGGCAAGAGTTAGCGCGGAGACAGCTCCCAGCAGGGAGCGTGGCACCTCACTCAACTCTAGGGCCTGGTTCCAAACAGTGGAATGCTACTTGAGAGCTAACTGCTTGCCTGGTTTGCGTAATTATTAGCAGCCAACATTTCCACAGTGCTTATCGTGGCTCAAGTTCTGGTTTCGTGCTTTACATAGATTAACTCTTATTTAAGCTTCACAGCAACCCCAGTGGCTATGAGCCTCATTTTACTGATAAGGAAACTGGGCTCACCAGAGGTTAAGAAACTTACTCAAGACCACAGTTTGTCAGTGGTAAAACCAGAACTCAAGCTTTCTCTCCAGGTAGATGAAACCCTTAGCTGGTGGGCTTTACTGCTTCTTGCTTGGCAAATGGCTAACACCAAGTAAACACTTGATAAATGGTTACTTTTCATAATCACTCACACAAATTCTCCTAACAACCCTGAGAGGTGAATGCTATTATTGCTCCCATTATTATGTATTAATAGTTAATAACTTCTTTATTTTAAATTGAACTGTAATAAGAGTTAAGTCACTTTCCTAAGACCCTGGAGTTGGAAAAGCACAGAAATAGGCTTCAGACTAAGTTTTTATGAAGTGAACACACATTCTGTGCTCCATTTTGCACCTGTGTCATTAGTGAATTTTTCCTTTATACGTAAGACTCTCCCCATGAACAAGGCTGTGTGAATGAGGCAAGCGCCCTGTTGCCAGGTTCCCTGATGTATGTCCTCCTGGGCAGTCTGAACCCTTCTGAACCCTCCTTCTAGAAGAGATTTTCCTGGAGAGGCAGGCTGGGCTGCAAATAGTCAAAGGGCTGAGGGCAGGGCGAGCACGGGGATGATCCTTATCCCAGCTGGGAGCACTGAGCCTCCTTTATATCAGCTGGCTCAGGTGTGGCCAGGCCCTGGGAATTTATAGAATCGATCATCCCTGTTGCCTGGAGGCCTCTGCACCTCGCTCTCCACCCCATCAGCTCTCCCCAGGGACCTCCCTGAGGTTTCTGCTCTAGTACCCTTCTCCTGCCGACTGCAAGGGGACTCACCTGGGTTCCCTGCTGCTTCCAGAATGCTGGGTTTCCCCCACCTACCCTGTTGGAGTACCGTGTGATTTGGGGTTCAGTAGAGTAGCTGTTCTGCCCATGTGTCCAGGGCATTACCACTGAGCCCTGTGACACCCCTCCAAAGAGGCAAGGCAGGAGTCATCGCCTCCTTTTCTAGATCAGGAAATGGAGACTCGGGGAGGAGTCATTTCTTTCCAGGGTCACTTGGTGGAAGATGCAGGTCCAGAAGGCAGGTTGTTCCTCTGTGGTGTGCCTGTGGAATGCCGTTTCCTGCCTGGCTTGAAACCCTGGCTGAGGGAGCTTGAGGGGCTCTGAGGAAGCCTCCCGTCAGCCCTGGGGAGGGAGGGAGGATGGAGGGATGGATAATCTCACAACTCTCTTCTCTTAAACCTTCCCAACTACCTTTCATATGTTGCTGTGGGCCTGAGTTGGTGAAGCCTGCCGGGAGTGCATTTTCATTACTGCTATCCAAACTGCAAATGCCGGTATTCATGGTTCCAGCAGTTGTGCTTCTAGAATGTACCCTTTAAATCCCCTGGAATCTTGGATAGGCACCATAATTTATTGCAAGAGTTGAGTATAAAAGCAAGAGATTGGGGATACTGTTACAAGGCAGGGAGAGAGGGGCACCACTGAACCCCCAAACCTGCCTGCTCTAAATAGGTTCTGTATCTGCCACATCAAGACAAAACATATCAGACTTTAATGAAAAGGAACTTTAATACAGTGAGTATAAAATGCGGAAGACAAAGAATATAACTTCTAAATCAAACACCTGAAGTTACCCCTCCCCTCGTGGGCAACAGTCCACCCAAAAGGGATTGGCCCAAAGCAAGGCCTGAAAGCCCACCACAAGACTAAAACACCTTCTGGCCGGGACCCATAGAAAAGGGTCAGACATGGCCAGACAAGTCTGGGAGGAAAAGAGCAAAATCATAATAATATAGACACTGCCAGTCACCTCCCCACAGGTCTCTCACCCACATCTCTTTCAACCAGTCCAGGACCAAGATACAAGCACGGTTTCTTCATCACGTGCTTGCTGCTCCATGTGGCTTCCTCGGGTCTCCTTCTGGCTCTCCATCCTGCTTCCTTCTCCTCAGATTCCTTCTCTTCTCTTCTTTTCTCTGCTCAGCTCCTCTCCTTCAGTGGGGCAGGAAACTGGAACTTCCCCCTTTTCCTGGGAGCCACCCTGTTACAATACCTGAAAAGTCCTTAAGTGTCCATCGGGGGGGGGACTAGCTAAGTAGCTTTCCAACACCTATAGAAATGCTACCCCCTAGAGAAAAATCCACCGGACAGAGATCAAGGTGCATGAGCGTGAGAGTCTGCTATTTCTGTCACATGCATTTGATCATACTCACATGGGATATCTGGAAGGATCTGCAGAAACTGGGTGTCACTGGCTCTCTGGGGGAAACTGGAAGGCTGAGGGGATGAGCATAAGGTGGACACCGCTTTCTACACCCTCCTGTGCCTTAGGAATATGGCGTGTGTGCCATCTGACAGTTCACAAATAAGCAAACCAAGTCTCGTCTCCCCACCCGCCTTCCCCACACACTGCGCAGGCCAGATGCGGTGCCACCAGGCTGCCTGGCGACGGACAGAGGAGCGCAGGAGACACGCCCCTGCAGGAGCCCCCCTCCTACCCTCCCATTCAGGTCATCCGGGCCCGCGTGTCCTCCAGCAGTGACTCCGAGGCCTCCTCCATCAACTCCGACCTTGAGGTACGAAGCGCTGATGTCTGCCGCGGGTCCCTGGGTGCCCCTGCGCTCTGCGTGTCTGTGCCACCCTCCCCTGCTAAATGCGGGTGCGCTTGTGAGGCTCAGCAGCCGGCCCAGGACTTTTCCATTCTGCTTCATGTGGGCAAAAGGTTTTCACTGTCAGATAAGTCAGGGAAATACTGCGTGTGGCAGTGTGAAGCATCACTTGCACATTCTAGTCTTCTAGAAAAATGCACAAATGATGATAAAAACACAGGAAGCGTTGCGCTGTGGCAGTGTTTCCCAAACCTGCTTGACCAGAAGCAGTCCTCCTCCCCTCCAGGGGCACCAGCTGAAGCCTGTTTTGCTAAAGGGAGGGAGCCCCCCACCCCTTCTGTGGGCACCATTCCTGGCATTTTCATAAACCTTGCCTTATTTAAATTTTTTGCATCTGTCACAGTTCGGATCCCACCCCTGGGAGTATAACTCTCAAGCCTGAGCTGGGCTATTACTCCTCCCTCAGCCCCATGGACTGGGAAGTTTCCCTTTGTTTGGAAAATGGTGTGAGCAGGAAGTTGTCAACTGTCTTTGGTAGGGCATGTTCTCCTATTATCATGGTAGTTAAATGTCCTTTGAGGAAATGATTGAAATTGTCAGTGGTGGCTGGTGTTGGGTTTTTGAGTTTGATTTTCATGGACTTTTTGGGCAAAATAATCATTCAGCGGTATCCTGAGTCAGTCCCTCAAATTTAGATGAGATCATAGGGGACCCAGAAACCTGAAAGACCCATAGCCATTGCTTTGGGATAAAACCCAGGGTCTTTAGGGTGAGTTCTGGCCCTTCTCACCTCCACCAGCCTCGTGCCTCACCTGATCACAGCGACTATGGACTGCTCCCCATCTCTGGGTCTCTCCTCCTGTGGGTTTCTCTGGCCCAATTTAGAGGTATCAGAATCCTACCCAGATGCCTCCTGCTGTGTGAAATGATTCCCCTCCCCCCTTTACCCCCCACACATGGCAGAGATGAATGGCTGCTACTCCAGGATGCCCAGGGCCTCTGTCTCTTACACAACTTCCAGTCTGCAGCGTAGCCTGCCTGGCAAGCTGCGGGGGTCACACCCCTTCAGGCTGTGCCTGAGCCTTTAGGAGTAGCCCCGGGGCCATCTTCATCTTTCCTTCCTGGGATCCTGGAACACAACTAGGAGCCCAGAGCTGGATTTGGCCCGAGGAATTCTGGACATTTGGTTTGGTTCTTGTGCCCCTTGTCATTCTGAGCTGTGCATTTCTTGCATCTGGTGTCTGAATTTGTAAGACGCCTGAGGCATTTGGATTGAGAGCCTAGAGTCAGCCTGGCAAAGGCCTAAGAGGACAGAATGTGTCTGGTAAAGCCAGGACGGTGGTCAGGGAGAAGCTGGAGAGGGCAGGAAGCCACTTACCCTCTGAGGAAACAAGGGCAGCTTTCATCACCCACCCTCAGTGGAGGTCAAATTTGTCTCTGTGACTGGTTTGAACCATTTCTCTGCCTTCTAATCCTCATTCTTCTCCCACTCCTTTATCTCTCCTTTTAAACTTTTAACTATGTTAATACTAAGGAGACAGTCACACTCTTCAATTAGGCAAATGAAAATGAATGCTTTTGCCATGTTAAAAGAATTTATTTTTAGAAGTTCAGCTGCCCAGCCCACCCACTCCAAGACCCACCCTGTCCACCCCCAAAACAGTCCTCCTGCCTCATCCCTCAAACGCACAGTCGCTACCAGTCACTAAGTGATTGAGACCAAGGGAGAAATAACTTAAAATATTACTAAATACACACATGAACAGGTCACACAGGATCGTAAAGCTCCAAGCACAGACTATTGGGTACATGAGCAGGAGACAGGCAGCTTCTTTCAGACATGTGATCCCTGAGGACTTTTGCTAATAGAAGTTTTCTGTTGTTAAAACTAACAAGAGTTTATCGTAGAAGAAAGCCTGGAAAATGTAAAGAAGGAAGTGAAAATTCACCCACAGGCCATGCAGCCGCAGCTGTCTGAGTGGTGGATAGTGTGTGCTTGAGAGAGCCTGCCTGGTGTCCTATACCCAGT